AAGAAGAAGAAGAAGAAGAAGAAGAAGAAGAAGAAGAAGAAGAAGAAGAAGAAGAAGAAGAAGAAGAAGAAGAAGAGAGGAAGAGGAAGAAGAAGAGAGGAAGAGGAAGAAGAAGAAGAAGAAGAAGAAGAAGAAGAAGAAGAAGAAGAAGAAGAAGAAGAGGAAGAGGAAATAACCAACCCCTGAAGAGGTTGGAGCCATGGCCCAGTTGGTACAGTGCTAGACAATGAGCAAAACTGGCAGTTTGAATCCCAGTCTCAGACCTGAAAAAAAGAAAGAAAAAAGAATTCAGCAAGCTGTCTGGAAAGTGGCTTAGTGGTAGAGTGATTGCCTACCATGCACAAGGCCTTCGACTCAATGTCCAGTACCTCAAAGGACAGAAAAAAATGAGCAAGTAATCCAGGTAGGTGGATAATCCCAATACTCAGGAGGCTAAGGTGAAGCTATAGGCTGGAGGCTAAATATGGACAAACTCTTTATTTTTCTTTTTTGGTCAGTCGTGGGGCTTGAACTCTGGGCCTGGGCACTGTCCCTCAGCCCTTCAGCTCAAGGCTAGCACTCTACCACTTGAGCCACAATGCCACTTCTGGTTTTGTGAGTGGTTTATTGGAGATAAGAATGTCACAGACTTTCCTGCCTAGGCTGGCTTTGAACCTCAGATCTTTGATCCTCAGATCTCAGCCTTCTGAGTAGCTAGGATTACAGACATGAGCCACCAGTGCACTGCTGACAAACTATTTTAAGTGACAAAAAAAAAGAACTAAATTTGGCCAACAATCAACTATCTCCAGCTCAGCCCACCTACCGTCGTTTGGTTGATCTCTAACTTCTCACTATGTTGCTCCAATCTGAATTTTCTTTTCTTTTTCTTTTTTCTTTTTTTGGGTCCGGTCGTGGGGCCTGTACTCTGGGCCTGGGTGCTGTCCCTCAGCTCTTCAGCTCAAGGCTAACGCTCTACCACTTGAGCCACAGTGCCACTTCTGGCTTTTTTCTTTTTGCTTATATGGTGCTGAGGAATCGAAACCAGGGCCTCGGGCATGTAAGGCAAACGCTCTACCACTGAGCCACCTTCCCAGCCCTCCAATCTGAATTTTCTATTACTGAGCTACTGTGTATAGATGATGACAGGAATGCCCTATCTTCTAGCTGCAGTGCTAGGGTCTCCTTCTTTTAAGCTTGTATACCTTCATTCTTCAGGCTGAAGAGAAAGAGCATCTGAGACACCATTAGTTGGAAAAGAGGGAATTATTTTTCCCTTTAAGTTTAATGATGCAGCTGGGCACCAATGGCTCCCAACTGTAATCCTAGCTACTCAGGAGGCTGAGATCTGAGGTTCATGGTTCAAAGCCACCCTGGGCAGTAAACTGTGAGATTTTTATCTCCAATAAAACTATTCAAAGAAGTCCCAAGTAGGGCTGTGGCTCAAGTGGTAGAGTGCTGACCTTGAGCAAAAGAAGCTCAGTGACAAAACCTAGGCCCTGAGTTCAAGCCCCAGGAGGTGAGTGTGGGGGCAGTGTTTAGTAATGCAAATCTCTGATAGCTGTATCTTCAGAGAAAAGCAAACTAAAGCTGGGTACTGGTGGCTCACAGCTGTAATCTTAGCTACTCTGGAGGCTGACATTTGAGGATCATGACCCAAGCAGGAAAGTTTGCCTGACTCTTACCTGCTCTAAACCACCAAAAAAGCCGGAAGTGTAGCTGTGGCTCAAGTGGTAGAGTGCTAGCCTTGAGCAAAAGGTGGCTCAGTGGTAGAGCGCTTGCCTTGCATGCCTGAGGCCCTGGGCTCGATTCCTCAGCACCATATAAGCAAAAAGAAAAAAAGCTGGAAGTGGCGCTGTGGCTCAAGTGGTAGAACGCTAGCCTTGAGCTGAATTGCTGAGGGACAGCACCCAGGCCCAGAGTTCAGGCCCCATGACTGGACCCTCCCCTCCTCCCCCAAAAAAAAGAAGCTCAGGGACAGCACCTAGGGCCTGAGTTCAAGCACAGGACTGGCACGAAAAAAGAAAGAAAGAAAGAAAGAAAGGAAGAAAGGAAGAAAGAAAGGAGAGAGAAAAAGAAAAAGAAAGAAAGAAAGGAGAGAGAAAAAGAAAGAAAGAAAAGAAGAAAAGTTCACTCAGCCTAGAGTGCAAATTCAAAGTGCAAAATCGAAATACTTCCTTTATGCAAGTCTAGGCTAGTGGGGCAAATACTGAGGAAAGGAAAGGAAGACCACAGAATGTGAGTAACTTTTTGGAGGGCTTTGGGAAACATTCTGGCCATTGTTCTGGAGTTTTCCCTCATTTTTCCATATATATGCAGTCAAGACCTACCATTACTCCCATCTTGGGAACTCTTGTTCTAGACATTATTTAAGTCCCTGTGCTAACTTTTCTGTAGTAGACAGGTGCTACTATTGTAGGCCAGGATGTAGAGACCAGTAAAATGTCAATGGGAGCTTCTCCAATGGAAAAGACTGGGTCCTATCACCTTTGTGTCTCACTATTTCCATTAGTCATTTTCCATGAACATAGTTTTCTGCTTTTCTCAAGAGTCTATGAAATATTTAGGGGAAGGGAGCAGAGAGAGACCTGGAGGTTCCACATTTGTCCTTTTCCTGAATCTTAAGGATCTTCATCTTTTCCTATTTTCCTCTCTCCTTTCTGAGCTTATTATAAAAGAAAGGTCTCTTTTCCCTCCTCTCTTTTCTTCCGCCTTCCTCCCTCCCCCCCCATCCTTTTCCCCCCTCCCCATTTTACCTCTCCACTGTGGCCTCTTGACCTCCTCACAGAGTTACAAAAGTAGAATCCTTGCAGAGATGCTGCTGTGGGAATGTTAATGAGCCTTCCTCACAAAGGGGCAAAGACTTTACTTCACTGAGTTGGAAAAAAGCCTCTTTGAAAAGGGGTTTCTGTGTGTGGTGAAGTGGAGAAGGAGGGGGGCATGGAGAGAGGGAGGGAGGAGGAGAAAAGAAGGAAGGGACCAAGAGAGAGCAAGAGAATGAGAGAAAGAGAGGGTGTTGGGGGGGGGGTGGGAAACAGAGGAAATCAATACCAGAAAAAAATCAAATAGCAATTTTCTTTCCTCAATTTGTGTTCTAATATTTGGAAAACGTTCCCTCGTCTTTGACCTTGTGAACTAAGAGCTTAATTCCCAAGAAGCTGAAGAGGCACTCAGGGGCATTGCAGATAAGAACAGAGATAGGAAAAAGGGACTTAGCCTAGCTTGGCTCCCCTTTCACTATTCCTTCCAATGTGGGAGTCTGAGGAGCTGGCAAAGATGACCTCTTTCTTCTGGCTTGGAAGTTTTTTCTTATAATATTTCCTAATTTTGCCAGTGTCTCCCTATGGCCCATGGGTCCGATAATTTATCTCTCTTCAGTATAGCTTACATCTTGCAGCTGAATTCCAAGCCAATCTGAGTTTCTCATTTGCATGCACTGATTGCTTTGGGGTTACCTTGGTATCAAAATTAAGTCATTGAACAAACAAAAATAGGCATGGTACCAGTGGCTTACACCTATAATCCTAGTTATTTAGGAAACTGGAATATGCCAAGCAGCAAAGTCCATAAAATTCTTACAT